ACCCTTAAATTCTGCTATCCATTTTTTGACGGATGAATATGACAGAGCACAATCGCCTAATGTACTGACCATGTCATCATGGATGGCTTTTGATGATAGCCCCTTCTTATGGAGGTACTTAATGACGGCACGCTGCTCGATTTGCTCCATTCGCGGAAATTATGTCCGATTACTTCGTTAATAAATTTATAAAATCACAACTAATTATCGCACACGTTTCGAACTTCACACAATGAACTAGTCTGAACTGAACTAAATAATATGGGTAGATTTGATTTTTAGAATTGAATGGATCTGTGTTAGGCCGAGTACTTTTCAATCCACCCTCGTATAAAAAAAAACATAATCTTATCACATTAAACCTAGACACGAATCTTTTTAGCACCCGAGTTTTCAATATTTACACCATTGTATGTATATAGGATAAATATACGACCGTATAGTGCACAGGAACGAATTTGTAAAGGAAAAAACAAATATCCTCAATTTAATTATCTCAGAGAGACTTATTATTATATTTTTGTGTATGACGTATTGTGTGCTCTCTTTGTCTCTTTCATCTTTTCAAACAACATATCTTAAATCAAATATTAATGCTTGAATAATTATAACAACGTAAAAATATTTGCATAATACTTTTTACCTAAAATTATAAAGAAATTTTTAATCAAACAAAGCTCTTTCATAACGCTAGTGCAGACCACGAAAATAGCAACATGTATAGCTCTAATGTAAATTGCTATTTAGGTAGGTATTAATTTGTGAATGATTTGTTTTAATAGCTAAATGTTTTAACCCCTGATGTAAAAAGAGGTGTGTTATAAGTTTGACCGCTATGTGGGTGTGTCTATCTGTCTGTGGCACTATAGCTCTTAAACGGGTGAACCGATTTGGGAGCGCTTTTTTTTATTTAAAAGCAGGTTTCCTATGATTTAAAAGGTAGTTTTAAGAAATGGTTTATCAAATCCGTTCAATCGTTTCAAGGTCATCAGCTGTTTTGTTAGCTGCGGTAAGGTTGTTTTCGGGGTTTTTTTTAACTTTCAATTTAAGTTATCTATTAAAATATTGATTTTGAAATCGATGAAGTCATGTTTTTTAAATACCATAGCAATTTAAGTATATACTGTTTCTTTTTATATATCCATTTAAAATAATACAAAATAAAGTGACGAACATCACAACTGAGACGTAAACCTTCATCGCTGCCCATGTGAGGAAGTTCAAAGTCGCTCAGCTATGGAGGAGGCTAGTCTCGGTCTTTCCTTAGTATGTACGAGTAGAATTCGAAATTGTCGAGGATGTCCGCAAAAGAACACGGAAGTAACTATAAGTTCCTATAATTGACATCCATTGTGGAAGGAAGGTTTTCGGGTAACAGCAACGTACTGACAAACGCAATGTGGGTCAACCCCTCACTAGAAATAATGACGACCTGATGAGAATTACAGGGTAACGATGGTTACAGGCAGGACAAAAAATAAACACAGACTTTGGACTCTTAGGAAGGCATCTCTTACTTATTATTTCAGCATCAACATTATCACCAACCGCCAAATAGCTCACTGATACAAGACTCTCACAAATTGGATGATTATTCAATTATGAAATGTCCACCACCTAATCCGGCTAATCGTAGCGAATACCGGTCGTTCGATTGTCGACCACAGTACCAGATCTGTTGATCTTTACATACCATTTACTTTGTACCTTAAAAAAGATTTCCAGCAGGGACGGCATTAGAGGACGGCGACCCAAGTGCTCGCCAGTAGGTCAGTGTCAAAGAGGCGCTCCGAGCGACAGTTGTCTTTAATTCCCGAGGTTTCATATACTACACTGAGTTGTTTGACATCCAATTTTCTTATAAAAGAGGAGGAGAATTAAGATAAATAAATAAATAAAATCTCTTTATTGCGGACAAACCTCCATAATTGTTAGTGAGTACAAGGAAGTGATAGCTATGTTAGTAATAATTAGGTGCAGACATAACTATTTAGTTTAAGTACAAACCAGCCCTGCCTGAGGCGCTAGGTTTATGCACATGTATATTATACATGTGTACCCAGTGTCCCATAATAGAACAATCTGGTTTGTCACTAATAGCCTTCAGTATGGTGTTGGAGCTACCACGTATTCTGCGCATTAGCGAGGCGACCCGTTAGCGCAACACCGTCTCCAAGCTATCAGTGCGCGCTTGCCCAAAGATAAGGCTTAACTATTGTTACAAATGTGTAAAGCTGACTCGGACTACAATCTGGGCTAGTGCACCATCAGAAATTACCACCAAGCAAATTAAATTATTGAACAAATCACAATCCCGATAAAACAGTGGCTTATTAAGCAAATTTTCTCACTTTGATGGCTAAAGACGGTCCTAATATTTAGTCAATTTTTTTTCTTTATTTATTTAGGGACTTTTATCTAGAACAAATCATACCCTAGTCATATTGACAGACAGATGAAAAATTATACTGAGAAGGAATAGAATAATAATTATTATTAGTGTTTCATAACCAAAGAAACTAAAAATTTTCAGCAGCCGACAGTGGCTCTCTTTACACAGTTGCAAACTTCTAAAGCCTAGATATTTATCTCAACATTTTGCATCAATATTTTTATTTCTCGAATTTAACACATTCCATTCTACTGACAATGGAAACACTACTTTTATTTGAAAAATAGCATCTTAATTTCTATCTAAAACAGAAAATTATAACATTTTATAAGTCTCATCACTACAGCAGTACACACGCCTTGAACGTGAAATTGTACGACATTGTATCTCACAAAATCTATGCAATCAAGTGTTATCTCAGAGCACACATTGCGACAAGAATTCGTTGGTGATATATGTAAAAATTATCGCTGCTTTTGTAATTAGCGTAATTTTAGTATTCCACGCCAAATTTAGCAAAATAAAACTTACTACACTTGTAGAATGAGCCCTATATTTGGTTGAGTGTTGCTTCTCACTGAAGATTTTCTCTGAAGTGTTCCAAGCAGATGGTTGGGATCTATACATCCAGCACTGGAACTCGGTGACTAGATAATGTAGAAGATATTGTTATTTGTTACTCTCACTTTAAACGCATTATTAATAACTATTTTGATGAGCCATTTCGTCCCGTGAGTGTCGTAAGAGAGAACAGAGGGAAACCATTAGATGGGCAGGGATATCTTCCCAATTACGATTATATTTTTACGTGGTAGAACTGCTGGAGCTATATTATGGTTGTAGCATGAATGGGTCGACTCAACCAGGGAAGGACCACGCTCTCACAGAATACCAGCGTAAAATAGCAGCTTAACGCTGCTATGTTTCGTATGGTGAGTGTAGAGAACCGGAGACCCATTTTACTGGAAACGAGGCATTCCATCTTACTCCTCACGGGTGACAACGCATCTGTATTTTGATTGGCAATCGAGTAGAGATGTAGATGTCTATGGGACACAGCAACCACTTACCATAAGGTGGACTGTGTGCTCGTTTGTCACCCTTACCCTGTTGAAAAAAATATTTTTTTTTATTGCCAAACCACCTTCCAAATGTGACAACTTTGGGAAATATTCCCTTTATAAGTCATTCTATGGGGAGGCGTATGTTCAGCAGTGGACTTTAATAAGCTGTAATGAATAAATAAATCTTACTTTTTTAAATAGACTTGTTAGATTTGCCCATTCGCACCATGCTGGCAGGGTTACGAGTACAAGGTATCTAACAGTCGGTTAACAGAGCCTCTTATAGTGTAACAGTATCATCCAGTAAATAAACCCTATCAAACGAATCTACAGTGATTTGAATCAAACGCCTGTGACTTAGGAGTTACTTTAATAATAGGGTCAAAAAAACCTCTCTCCTGGAACGAACCAGCAAGAAACCCGACGTGATTTTTTCAAAGTTATAGTTTAAAGTAAAATACACAGGTTGTATAATTAATTATAAAATTTATTTAAAAAAAAAACAGCTACGAAACAGTCACTATTTTCCAAGGGGTTATTATCAACAATATATTTATTAAAATTATAATAAACATTTCATAGAGTCGTTGAATCATAAAAAAAGAAAACTTTGTGACAGATCTCTCATATTTTTCAGGGTTTTGTTGTCAAAGTTGAATGAATAACTGGCTCTTCAGAGACGAGTAACTCGTCTTACCTTAACCAATAAGTACCTTATTGTGTATTTAAATCTTTAAGTACAATAAGCCATAAAAGTTACAAAATTGTTTTTTTTTTAATCATTAAATTGTATGTGTTAGTTTTATTTACATATTTGTTTGTAAGTTTTCCCTTTAATCTTTAATACATCCTGTAAATTGCATATCAGTTTTTAAACATAGTTTTTTGTTATTTAATCACATATTTTTATATAATATTAGAGTACAATAACAATTTGTTAAAATTTATAAACTTTTATTGAAAATATCAATATAAAGACTTAAAAATTATTTTCTTGTAATGTAAGGCACATCATATATATGTTCATGTTATTAAATTAATTATTCCCAAAAAAAATATTTTTTATTAACACCGGATATTAAACGAAATTTTTGTAATGAATAGTAAGTTCATTAAAAACACGTCTTTTTTCTCTTAAATTCGGCCATCACATTTAAATACCCTGTCATACAGTCATTATTAACATATTAAACTCAATAACGCGTTCTATTCCATTGATTTTTAAAAGGCTATTATCACTTCTGTAATCATTAAAAACTTTTGGGCAAACGTAATTAATTAATTAAATTAAAATTTACTTGTCGACTTCGTTTCGATAATCGTAGCAAAAATCTCACATATATAAAATTGCTATAACTTTTATTACAAATTTTGTTTTTTTATTATAATTCTAATGACAATAAAGTAACAGTTTACCAGATGGTGAGGCTACTGCAGCTAATGGATACCTGCTGCTCGAATAAAGAAAGCTACAGATGCGATGTCATATCTGAGGGCAGGATAGGAACAATACAAACGGGACTTACACAAAAATATTTCTTTTCCTACTTCAAAGTAATATCTGAACTATTACTAGGGAAAAAAACCGGTGATTCTGAGTAATACTGAGCCGAATGTAAATTTGCTCTATCGGTAGCTTTTAGGAGGTTCTGCAGCAAATTTTGTTGCTCCAATAAAAGCGTGTTCAGGTGTCTCATTTCCTGGTCGATCTTCTTCAAATTGAACGTCGTCTGGTCGATTTTCTCCTGCATTCCTCGTATTTCTATATTGAGATTGGGGTCGCTCGAATTAGTTTCTTTCTTGAACTTTGAAGAGTATTTGTTATTGTAAATAATTTCCTTCATCGATCTACCGGCTTTTACCTTATTAATTTGCGCCAATTCATAAGCGGCCATCATAATATCGGTTGGCAACCTTTTCTCTCTTGGGTTTAATGGCTTCACACTCAAAATTACTTTACCAGCTTCCGGTGAAACCAGTGCGGTTCTATAAACATATTTATGAAGGCACTTTGGCAGCCAAGCACTGAATAGACCCATCTCGACAAAAAGAATTAACTTCGTTTGCCGTACGAGCTTAGACAACCCTGCAGTCTTTCTTAGCCCTTGTATATCATGGACAGCTATACCCACGAGTAAATTCATCAGTATTATAGTAACAAACATAAGAAAAAGTATGAAAATAATTTGTGAGGACAGTTCGAAATCGAGCGGCGGATCATCCTGCATAGGATCATTAATTAAAATATTTAAATTTAACTCACCCACCATCATCGATAGCGTACTTATGAAACCCATTAGAGGGTTTGAAAACATCTCCTCGTTAGGAAATACAACACAAAAGCATATTGTGAATCCCAGTAACAGACAAATGTAAGCCAGCAGCAACTTTAAAAATTCCGTCAATACTTTTTGGTACATAGCCACATAATCTCCAAACATTGGTAGTTGACCCATCAACAACATTAGGTTGGTCCAAGCTCCAAGAACTGCGTAACCGCCAACATGGTTTTGCCAGCCATAGTCTTTGTGTATGTTATATAAAGAAAATACAGACAACAACACAAACCATTCCATTAAATTCTCAAACGTAGTAAAGTATTGGAATATACTTGAGTATCCCGTTATGCCTGTGAGCTTTCTAACAATTTCAAAAGCCGTGATAGCAATTAATATCCATCTTTCAAATTCTATAGGGTTGTCCTCCAAAATAGCACGCAATATTGACTGTTTCTGACAAAGTTCATTTGGCACTCCGTATTTCTTGGAATATTTCCCCTTGCAAGTTTTCACTACAGCTGTTAAAGCGTAAATTGACAAGAACAATACAAACAGGAAGCAAAAGATCAGTCTCGCTAAATAGAATTTTCTTATCTTACGCCATTTCATAAACAGAAAAGCTGAACAAAGTGGGTGGAGCAAAATGTCTTTTTGACCTTCATCAATCAAACTATTTAAATATGTTATCTCACGTGGATAAGAAAACTTAAGAAGTTTTCCAAAATCAAATTCAATTTGTACTTCTTCGTTGCTTTCGGTAGGTCGGCTTAGTGAAATCCCACTATCGAGGTTATGTCGCAGAATAGCTAGAGACTTGGGAGTTTTTCTAGCAATAACACTCAACGCTGTATGTCCTTTCTTTGATTTCGAAGTCACATCTGCTCCTAAAAAAATTAAAGTTTCAACGCATTGTGTTAATCCATCCATAGCAGCGAGATGTAATGGTGAGTATCCATATTCATCCTTTTTATTTACTTGTGCTCCCCAACTAACAAGCATATCTATTATATCGCAAGCACGATCTGAACGGCATATGGCTGCATGTAACGAAGTTCTTTTGTCGTAATCTTCAATATTAGGGTCCGCATTGCCATCTCTTAAAAGCACTTCAACACACTCCACACTAGAACACCTAGCTGCAAGATGTAGCGGCGTGAAGCCTCTATAATTCTTTGTATTTGCTTTAGCACCATCCGCAAGAAGTAATTCAACACATTCTGCGTATCCTCTAGCAGCCGCTAAGTGTATAGCCGTGCATTCTTTGTCTCTTTGTTTGGTTACACCGTTCACGCTTATTCTTGTTTCTTTTAGCAAGTACGCCAAACAACGTTGGGAACCTAGTTCCGCAGCAAGGTGCAGGGCATTTAATCCACCTGATGTAACATATGCGGGGTCCACGCCTTTTTCTATAAAAAGCTCCATACATTCGACTGCATCAGCCCTAACCGCGCAGTGCACGAGATTGTCTTCGCAACCAGCTCTCTGTACCACTGAATGCAAGCACGCGCCATGAGCAATAAGTATCTCAGCAACTTCAAGGGAATTCCCAAATGCAGCGCAATGTAGGGGCGTAAAGTATTTTGGTGCAAAATCAACGTCAGCTCCGTTTGCGATTAAATATGAAACTGATCTGGGAGCCCCGCTGAAAGCGGCCATATGTAAAGCAGTCAATCCTGCTGGTTCAGAATAATGAATATCCGCTCCTGCCTCTAACATCACCGGTAACAATTCGTCTCTAGTTAAAAATGCCGCCCATAAGAAAGTCAAGTTTACGACAACCTCTGGTGCTGAACTTATGTGTTCTTCTATGTTATCTGCAGTTATTAATCCACATTCGACATCGTCAAAAAAGCGCCCAGCTCCTAAGGTAAGTGCTTTCTCACAGAGTCCTCTTCTGACCATATCTTCTGTCAGCCGTGCTTCTGGGTCAGGAGCGAGGACATCAAAACTATGGTGCATGTTCGGGGCATCTTCAGCCGGTGGTGACGGCCCGACAAACAAATACTCTTTAGCCTTTCCAAGTTCGTTAGCGGACTCCAACAAATCGATACTGCGGACATGTTTGTATGTACTTTTAAGCGGGAACTCCTCGGGCTCTCTGGTTCGCGAACTATAGCTGCTCGTAAGTCTGGATCTTGTAGGCGTATGCACGGGCGTTTGAAGAGGTGACGGCCACCCCATTTCGCGATAACCAAAGTTGTCCATAGTTTGTTCGTGACTGAATACGTCTCGGGCGTCTACTTGTTATCTTATCTGCTTTGTTTAACTGAAGCTACGACATGTGAGATTTCTGTTTGATGTTGTGATTTATTACGCTATTTTTACTTTGCGCTGTTAGGATCTCAAAGTGAGATTTCAGATATTGAATGAACCTTTCTACTTAGCGATATATTAAAGCTGATTATTGTCGTTACGTTAACAGTCGCTCCTTGTTTTTTGCACCTTTACTGTTATAGAGATAATCAGTGTTTATATAAGCCTTTATAATCTCACTGTGTTTTGCATGTGTAATGGCGGTGTAAAAATATCTACTACCTCATAGTGTCCCGTGGGTTTTGTAAGAAGCGACAGAGAGAAATAAACCAGGAGATTTCCAGCAGTGTCATCCTAATAACAACTAGAAAATAAAATAATAACTGCGGTTGCCAGCCCGCCTGCCAAGCTTGGCAGCTATGTCAAATATCCTCCTTCGAGGTATTCTATGGGGGGGCCTATGTTCAGCCGTGGACTTCGACAGGCTGTAATCATAATGATGATGATAATCTCACCGTAAGACAGAGACTTAACTGTCTATCTCTCAGATTGAAAACTGATTCCTGCAAAAATTTTAATACTGAAATAAAAATAATGGATATCTTATACTGTGTGAGATGTTAGTGGGATCAAGAGATCTTTTGACGAAATGTCTACATTAGATGCAACTGATGCACTCTACTCACTGACAACGAGGCTCTGACTTCGAAAAAAAAAGACAGATGTCCCATAATACGGCTCCGTGGCGCAGTGGCTTAGCAATGAGTTGTTGCGCTGGGGGCCGCGGGTTCGAATCCCGCACGGAACAAGTATTTGTATGGCCTATAAATAATTGTTCCGGGTCTGGATGTTTGTCCTTGTGCAATTTGTGTTTGTAAACTGCCTCCACGATACAGGAGAAAATCCTAGTGTGGGGGTAACGTTTTTTAACAAATAAAAAAAAACTCAACTATTCGATACCATACCATATGGCATGATAAACATTAAGTTCAGAGGGATTGTTTTTTTTTATATCTAAAAATTTAGAAGCTAATATAACTAACACTGTGGCAGTGAACACTTATACAGAGATTAATTGTTGCGTAAGTATTCAATGGACGAGAAGGAGGTGAAACGTTCTCGTACATTTATTTCTACGAAATAGTAATAATAAACAAATGCACTACTCAACCTTCCCCGCGGATATCGTCAAAGGCGATAGGAAATGTCAGAAATATGTATATTACGGCTATAAATGAGTGTACAACCATTTTATTCAGGCCAGGTAGAAAATACTCCGTTTGCGCCGGTAACGCAATAATTATTAATCCATCTGTGGTAAAGAAAGCGCTATGTACAACTGTTGACTTTGACAGGCTGAATAATACGAAGAAAACGAAAAATTCACATGTGTTGTAACTCCGCATAACACAACACAAGTGCTACAATAATTTAAAATAAAAAATTCTGTACAACCGACTTCAATATAAATTATTAAGAATAACTCAAAAGCTATTGGTTAGACCTTGATCAAATTTATATGGGACCACACGTGAAGCAGCAGCATTCAAATACAAAAATAATCATCGAAATCGGTTCACCCAGAAAGAAGTTATAAGCTACCACATAAAAAAAAAAACACAGTCGAATTGAGTCCCTCCCCCTGTTTGTAGTCTGTAGAAAAAAAACTCGCACTAGTATATGCTGCCAGGCATCACCAGTCTGTTCCGTTTGGATTTGGCATTTTAAGATCAAGCAGACATTGTGGAGGAGGGTGTTAGATATATAAATAGAGTCACCTAGTGGTGGTGCAAGAACATCGACTACCCCATATCGTACGGAGGAAAACGAAAGAGGCGACAGAGTCACACAAAACATGAGGTGGGCAGCAGCGTCTTTCTCATAACAACTACAAAATAAAAAACTACGGTCGCCAATTTTCTTTCCAAGTGTGGCAACTAAAATTACGGGGGAGGCCTATTTGATAGGCTGAAAGGCCAAGGCGTGGTAGCTCAGGGGCCAAACGCTTGCCGTCAATTTCGCGGTACTCGAACAAGCCAGATTCGATCTCCGATAGCCTCAATGAAATCGTTTGTTACATTTTACTGTGCTTCACCACATACTCGCATGATGAACAAACCAGTATGTGAGACGATTAAATATTTTGATGAAATATGAAGGCCACCAAATACACTAGGTCAGCAGAGCGAACTGATTTTTCCATAATCTCAAAATAGTTTTCATTAATGTTCATTCATATTGCCTATTAGAGGATGCTTTTTAATAATGTTAGCCAGTCGTAGAAATGTCTGAATTTTTTTTGAACTGTAACATAATATGCACTTAACCGTGACAGAACGTCAACCTAGTTACAATGACACTGCGCGCACACACAAATATTTGTCTCCGCCTCCCTCCGTGCCCTCCCTCTGCAATCACTTCGCAATCCCACTGTCACTTCATGTCAGCACATTTCTCAGTATTGAGATATTCCATTTTCTTGCTAAGTAAACAATGTAACAATTAATTGTGTTTAATAGGCTTCCATTTGTTTATGTATTTTTATTTCTAACGATGAATGAACAAACTGACATCGTGAGTAGCGTCGTATGAAAAAAAATATTGTACAATGGCTGGCAGAATGCTACAAATTGTAATATCAAAAAAAACATTCAATTATTATAATTTGAAATATATACGTGAAAGATGCTGCAGTGCAGTGGTAGAGCCATGCTGCAGCTATATTAGTAGTATAGTTGTAGCACGAATGGGTCGGCTCGACCGGAGAAGGACCACGCTCTCACAGAATACCAGCGTAATATAGCAGCTTAATACTGATGTGTTTCGTATGGTGAGTGTAGAGAACCAGAGACCCATTTTACTGGAAAAGAGGCATCCTATCTTAGTCCTCACGGCTGATAACGTATCTGCATTTTAACTCGCAAACGAAGATATTTGTAGATGTCTATGGGCCACAGCAACCACTTACCATCAGGTGGACTGTGTGCTCGTTTGTTACCCTATCTTATAAAAAATAGTAATGTCCCCCAAACCAGCCACCTGCGAAGGGCAGGATTATAGTGCACGAGCGTGCACGTAAGCAACTGTGACAAATAAACCCCCCATCGATGGAGGAAGTCTGTGTTCAGCAGTGGACTTTTGAAAGACTGTAATAAATAAATATAATGAATGAACCTGGGAATGAGGTGATCGGTACCATGCTGGTTTTAATTCGACAACAGTATATTGTTTTTTTTTAAATAGTCCCGCTAGGTTTCTTGCTGATTCTTTCCAGGACAGTAATATTTTACGAAGCAGTGGTAAACAGTAATAATGGTAAATTACATTCAATAAGTCAGGTATTCTTGTAATCTATATTGTATAATAAAATATTGTTTTATACTCTATTGTAAAGATGTGGTAAAATTAAAAATGTTGTACAACCGACTACAATATAAACAAAATGAGAACATCAATGTAGTCGAGTCTATTAAATAGTCGGAGTCAATTAAGAATAACTCAAAAACTAATAGTCAGATCTTGATCAATTTTATATGGGCAAAAATTAGAAGCACTAGCATTCCAATAAAAAAGTATCAAATCGGTTCCTTTAGAAAAAAGTTCTGAGGTAAGACACAAAAAAATGTTATCGGATTGAGAACCTTGTCCTTTTTTTGTAGTCGGTCGGAAAATCGTAAATCATACATGCATGTCTAGGTATCCGAGTACTCTTGACCCTCCCCTCTTCGAGCAATTTGCTCACATGGTCTTCGAAAGTTAGTCTCGGTCTACCTCGACACCTTTTAATATTAACTTTCGCGCTATATATTTTCTTCACCATTCGGTCTTCACTCATTCGCTCAACGTGCCCAAACCATCGAAGCACGCCCTTATCAATTTTTGTGTTTTTGTTTTTTTTTTCTTTCTCATCTACTGCAATATCGCAAAGTTGCAGTGTGGCCCTACCACGTTAAACCTAACCTTTTACGACTTCACAAATGAGTTTCCAGGTCAGCAAGTTAGGAGTTATTGGTGTAAGTGTACTGCGCTTGATATCTCTTCGGTTATGTTGGACTACCGTCCCATCGGACTATAAGAGTGAGGGAATAGAGAGTGCACCTGTGCTTGCGCGCACACTTGTGCACTATATATAATCCTGTCTATCTTTTGTATCCTGCTAGTCTCCATTGACACTGGTCGCCATGACGGAAAATCGGTCTGGTTAACATGTTATTAGTACTATTGCTAACTTCCTAATTCGACCCTCATTATCTCAATTGGCAACACACCACCATGGGTTTTTCAATCTTGCCATGCAAGACTACATTGAAATTTAGCGTCAGCAGTTCTTTCAGACCGATCTGACCCAGAAACATTCAAGGAAAAAGTTTGCCTGCTCCATTATTATAGGCCTCACCTCACATCACATCACAGATGAACTGCGTCAGAGCAACCCGAATTCGATGCCCGCCGGCATTTAAAAGTTGTTAATTTCAATTACATTTCTGATTTACAACGTGCTCTGCCTATGCAAGATTGCCCCGTGAAGGTAAACATCGTAAGGAAACCTTCGATTTTTTTTAATAGATTCCGATTTTTGGGATCTCTTAGATTCCAACAGCCTATATCATCATGTGACTATCTTAAGAGCAACGATCAACATTCAACGGTCGAAATATCAACATTTTTTTAAATTATAACACGACCTATATATACGATTCTAACTACAAACACTTTCAACGCAATCGGTGTTAAATGAAGCAAAATAGCTAACATGTCGTCATTGGAATCCAACCCGGTACAGCTCCGCAATAGGCCACTATCACGACCGAAGGAAACGGGTCAATGGCCCGTCAAACAATTTCTCCGGTCGATACTGCTGGAGACACTAATGATACAAACATAGTAATATAATATTTTATTAAACAAGTCTTGTATACGCACTAATAATTAACTGACAAGTCAGACAAGAC